CATCTATGTTTTCTCTTCAATAAGATTTTTTTTTTACCAACAAAGAAGCAAAAATATAAAAGTTCCATGCGTGTTTAGAGCAACACACGTGAAACATTTAAAGGGACAACCAACCATGCACACGCACACTCACACTCACACACACAATTGCAATTTAGACAGAAATAACCTAAATTGGTCCAAATTTAAGTCAGATCAATCCAGTTCATTCCATTCCATTGTTCATGACTGTGGCACGTTTAGATTTAAAAAGCTTGTTTTGATTTTTATGAAAGGTTGGTGGTTCAACTGTCCCTGATGCTGTTCCTCAGGTAGGTTTTTTATTTATTTATTTTTTTCCCACAACAGAAAATGTCTTCATAACTCACACCGACTAACTGGAAATGTCAACAACACAGATAACAACTCATGCAAGTGTAAAAACGTGTTTTTGGAAGGAGGAGTGATGTTAATGCCTCATCCATGCCCTTCTTTGCTTTATAGCATCTTGCTAACGAAGGAGCTTTCCTCGCTGTCAAGAAACATAATGAAAATATGTTTTTTGGAAACTTCTTCTGAAACTCCATTGTTCAGCCTTAGACACGTTGGATACTGTTTGCAAAAAAAAAAAAAAAAAAGCCTTTTTCCCTGTATAATCACCAGTCCAGCTCTACCACCCACTAGTTTGTTTACAGGATGTGAAATGAGGTCAAAAACTCATTGCCTTTTCTGAGGCAATGAGTCTTGTTGTTAATTTATAATAGATTATAATATTCGTAATATAATCACAGTCAAATTTTATAAAATATTTAAACAAATAAATTACTAAATATTTCTCTGGGGTGCTACGTCTGATCCATGGGGAGTTATAGCACCTCCTAGCGCCTCCCTGGAGCCACTACAGATATCAGTTCATCGCTGTCTTTTTCCAGGGTACTTTAAATATATGTGATATTTTCAAAAACTCGCTCGGCTATGGCGTGACTGCGCGCTCAGCTTGGTAGCCCCAAAATTCACACCATACTTGAACTACAGTACAAACAAATAAATAAATAAACGAAATGGACTTGAACGGTTTTGCTGGAAAGATTTTTTCTTCAGTATGTTGCAAAACACCGGGAGCTCCAGTGGCGCAATCGGTTAGCGCGCGGTACTTATAAGACAGTACACCTTGAGCAATGCCGAGGTTGTGAGTTCGAGCCTCACCTAGAGCATTTGTTTAATTCCGGGTCTATATTATTATGTAGAGACGGAAAGAATAAATATCCGATCTAGGAACAGAGAAGGAACCTACAGACTGTAGCAGTCATATTTCTGTGGGTGTATGTAACAGATAATATTTAATATATAAACTAACGTAATATAAAAAGTGATTAAATGAGAAATTTAAGACAAAAATCATGTGAGTCCTTGAATAAATATCTGAAAATAGGATTTTTCATGAATTGGTATTTTGAAACCAGTCTCTTTATTGCTCTTTTCAGGTTACATAAAGCCAAAGAAGGTAACTTTTATAAAATGTTTTTTTTTGTTTGTTTTTTGACATATTTGTTAAAACTATAACAAATGTAATTCACAGTATTGAACAGTATAATTCACTTTAAGTCATTTGAAAAGTAAGTCAATAGAAGAGTATTAGCGCTGTTAATCAAACTTCCCTCCTTACTCTCCGCTGTGCTACATCTAATTCCCCACAATAAAGGCTAATTAGCATGACCACAGATGATGAATGGCCCATATTTTGCAGTGCGTACACAAGGTGATTGACAACGCTAAGACCCTCCTACTGGACTTGACTGGTTGTTTTTGACCAAGCAGTTTTATTTCTGGAGTAGATGGAAATAGGACCACAAGGAGGAGGCAGAGGAGCAGAATTTTTTTCAAAGATAATCTGTCTCATATTACACCGTCAGGATATAGAATTAGATTCAGTCTTGAGCAATAACAACACATGTGCTAACTTTGTTTCTGGGTATGAAATGTACAAAAAAAAAAATCTACAGAAAGCTTACGACATACAGACAAAACACTCTGTGTCAGACATAAAGCTGTAAGCTGCAGGGGTGAAGTGAGGGTTAGCTCATAACTAATTCATTAGTATAAAATATATTAATATTGCTTTCTGATCATAAACTTCTCTGCTTTAAAACAGCCTACAGGGGTCCAACCAGGTATAAGGTGTAATTAATAAAGAGGCTTGTGAGTGTGAAATTAATTTAAATGTGTCATTTCAGTAAAATGAGACAAAACTCTTTATTGATTCCTAGTTCATTTCTGTCTGGTTGAGCTTCTGCTTTTTCTAATACAAAAAAACAAAACAAAAAAAAAAAACAAGAGAATCTGAACCTATATTGGAGGTTTTTACATTTCGAAGATTCAGCAGCAGCTCATTACTCTTCAACATATGCAGACGCTGCGACATGTCGAAGAATGAGTGGGCTCCTGTGGTGCCGTCTGTCAGGTCACTGCATTTCTAAGTCAGTGCGCAGTGGAGCAGTGCAGATTGTGTCAGATGGAAACTCATCTGGAGAATTTTCTCATCAAGTTTGACTTCCTTCCTGCTGTAGTTTTTTTTTTTTAATTTTAAACTAAAAATTAAAAAAAAAAATCTAATTGAGAGACTCAGAACAAAAACTTTATTTTACTGTCACTATTATGCAACATCACAAACACGGACAATGACATTTTTATTGACTGTTCTTAGAATGATGATGATTTAGAGTTTTGCTGACAAAAACTTTTGTGAGTTTATTAAATTGACATTTAAACAGAAAATCCCCAATACATTCAGATTAACGATGCTTTTCAATGTTTCTGTAAGAAAAGGCTCCACAAGTCCTTTCTGTTTTCTGCCATTCCTCCGTTCAGAGAGCTTTACTAAACCACCCTGTGGTCTCCTCTACCACACGGTGCGCTTCAGCCCCACCCACATGGAGCGTTTGGTTCCCTGCGCGTCTCGGACGTCGTCCCAGTGCAGCTTGGTGTCGGGGACCTCGTCCACGGACTCCGGCTGGAGACGCGCTCCGTCTTTCGGGCTGGCAACCACCATGGGCAGCGGGCCCCGCTGGGCCTGGAACTCCACGACGTGGAGCTGCTTCTTGTTGGCCAGCTTCTGATGAGTTTCCTGAAGGGTGGTCGAAGCAGTGAAAGAGATTTAGCAATGTAATAATGACGAGGAGATGAGAAGGGCTTTATCTCTTGAGTTATTAATAAAAGCACAGGAGTTATGATGGTCTGAGACGACAAGAACAGTCAGATAAATCTTTTCTCTGACAAAGAAGGAAACCGCCAATTTCCTGCAACATAGCTGGAGTAATTTATCTTTTATGTCTGTGTGAGATTAATCAGCTTATGAAATCGATTAAATCAGCAATTAAGACGTGAGAATTTTTAAGAGACTTAAAATCATTTAGAGATCTGGCAGACTTCGCAGACAATGGACTAGAAACATAGAAACAACTAAAGGCTTTTGATCTTTATATCTTCAGAGATCTAATCGGAATATGTGGTTGAAAAAGAGGTGCTGGAATATTTAAACATTTAAAAACTAAATTTAGTAATTCTGAAAGAAACAGCCGTTGAATGAAATACAAACCCGGCGTGATGAGTTCATGTCATGTTTGCTGAATTCTGAACTCATGATTAACCCTCACCTACGAGGAACATGGTCTTTTGACTTTAGCTATATGCCTCAGATGATGAAAGCTAGACTGCACTACTGCACTGATCTCACAGAATTTAAAATCATTGTCCAAAGCCACCCCTAAGAAGGTTCCGGTCCATTCCTGCTCTCACAGCCTTCAAGCATTTCAGTAACCTATCCACAGATGGCGATCCATTGGATTTTAATGGAAGGTAAACCTGAGTGTCATCTGCGTAGAAATGGTACGTTATATTTCCGGAAAAATGGATCCCAGAGGAAGCAAGCACAATGAAAATAAAATACGGCCCAGTATGGAGCCTTGAGGTACTCCGTTTTGAAGAGGAGAGCTGATAAAATTAACATGTGCTGTGGAAGATCAAACAAACTAAAGCCATTCTATTTATTAAGGATTATTAGACAATTGTTAGAGGGGGGGAAAAAGGGTTAAATATCTGGAAAATTAATATTCAACCCCAGTAAAAATAAGAAAACTCCTGGTTTTTCTGACAGAATTACCTTTTCATGCGAGTCCTAACTTTTGAAAAGCTGCTTTCCGTACTTTAACATTAAATTCTCATTGACTGATTGATTGCCACCTCGTATAAAGGGTTAAATGTGTATCAGTACAAAATTATCAAACAGTTTTAAAATCAGCAAAATACTTTTTAGCTATATGCGGGTTTTCATGTGGGATCCAATCAATACTTAAATCACTTACGCATTAAAAACCGACTCAGTACAGTTTTGTACTTCAATGAAACTCTGCCTGAGTCTGTTCTCATTGGCCGATTCAACTGGCCTAAACAAATACGGACAATTCTAAATTAGGATTTTCAAAATGGACTGGACGCAAAGAATTACCAACACCAGCTACCGGCACGTTCAACTGTTCCCTAGTAAAGGATAAAAACAAACAAACAAAAAAAAACTAAAACCAGAAATCTAGTGACTTTATTTCTGGAGAATTTTTCATTTCTTACTGACGTCCCAACATGATCTCACCTGATTGGCCAACCCAGTGAAGAGCGCCCGCGTGATGCTGAGGAGATTGACCGAGCCTTCAACTTTACAGTACATGTCCTTGATGCCAATCAGCTTGCACAGCGTGATGACGGCCCTGTGGCAGCGCAGACCATAACCTGCACAAACACAAACACAAACACACACACACACACACACACACACACACACACACACACGCAATTAAATTCCAGCTGCAGTCACAGCAGAATATATAATGATTAAATTGAAATGTTCAGAGCGGAACATCTGGCTCGAATTAGCTCTGGCAAGACGGACGCCGACCAACCCTCGCTTTGCTTCTTCATGCGCAGAGTCGTCCTCTTGAATCTGGAGTCCATGTCGTGATAAACTGTCGGCGGTGGAAAAAAAACAGCAGCTGCATCAGACGCACGGCAGAGCAGAGACAGATGGAAGCAAAACAGCCAAACCAATAAGTGATAAACAAATCCAGGAAATCTTAACGAGCTCCACGTGTTTTGCAGGCACTTGAGCTTTGATTTACGGTTTTTATCCGCCTCCCAAAAACTTTACGTTGTAGTTCTCTACATGCCCACCAGATGTCCCTCCTGCTCACTGCAGCAGCTGCAGCCCTTTACTTATTCACACTCACTTCTTCCCCACAGGAGGAGCTGTGTGCTGCCAGACGCATTGCTTCAGGAGAAAACCCTGCGTTTCCTGACATCCAGTGAATCAAAGAACTCGATATTAAACGCGGATGCTGCTGCAGTGCAGATGGGCATGGATGAGGACAGAGAAGGAAATTCGAGTAAATGAATGTTCTAAAGATTTTTTTTTAGTGCTCATTTGACAAGTCAAGGTAAGTGAAGAATCGAAAAGTTGATTTAACTTAATATAAACTTCACATTCACTTAGATGACTCATCCACCGCAGGGAAACGAGCATTTGTTGTAGCTGCAGGGGGTCCGGCCTCATCTGACAGAGTGAGAAAATCAAAACAGATTTGCATTTCTTTTTTTTATTTCAGAGAAAAGAACTAATTTATCTTTCAGACGCTGGAAGACCGAACGGATAGAAGACATCAGTAAATCCGGTGGATTTCTTCAAGCAAAGACCGAAAGTGAGCGGGGTTGATATATTCGACGCTGCTGCTACTTATAAACAAACTTAACTTTATACAGAAAGCAATGATTCAAAGAACAGAAAATTATGTTTTTGGAGGAACGTTTACCAAAAACACGAAACCGACGACAAATCCCAAAGCACTTTACGATTCGAAGGGCCATTTTTGCCTTCAGTCCAGCCAAATAAAAGTCATTTAGAGACACCAATGTTACGTAATCATTGACAACTTATAACTTTATATAAACATCTTCTAGATGAAATTTGTTGTCATTTTAAAGGGCCACCTTTACAGAAAGAAATATGTTTAGGCTTTCAAGTACAGAACATGCATTTTGCTTAAAGAGAACACTTTCTTCTGTTGTATGTGAATTTTGTGGAAAATTAGAAAAAAAAAATTGACTTAATATCATAAAACAAGATGAAAAATTTACTTTTAGTGTCATTCTGAACAACAGAAAAGCTGAAAAACTGCTAAAAACTTTAATTCATTAAATTGACATTCATTCAATAATTTTGATCATGTGCTACAATTAGGGTCTGCGTCAGATTAAAAACACCTCGTAAAACTAATATTAACGCTAATAATAAATAACATGCTACTCATTCTAATCTGAAACAACTTTTTATTGACTGCCAGCAAAAAGATCCTCATAAATAACAGAAAATTTAAAACATCAGTGTGTGTGTGTGTATTTAATATATTTAATTTGTTTCACATATTGAACTGAGTTGGTAATATGAATAAGCATTTCAACGATGTTCTAACTTATTGAATATGACTGCATATTTAAAACATTATTTATTGCTGTAGAATCCGTCGCCAAAGTTATTGAGAGTCTTTGTTAAAGAAACACACCAGGCAGGTCAGAGGTGCAGCTGTAAAGAAGTGGCAGCATCATGCTGCGCTCCAGCTGGTCAGAAGTAATGAGGTCAGTGTTATTAGTCCTATTAAAAGGGACAGCAACATAAACATGCAAGCAGAGCTACAATGGAACAATTTAGATCAAAGCATTTTCATGTTTTGGAATGGCCTAGTCAAAGTCCAGAGCAAAATCCAACTGAGAATCTGTGTGGTTCACATCTGCCCTCTATCCAGTCTGACTAAACTTGAGCTGGTTTGTGCAAAATGGTGAAAAAAGAAAAACTTAGAACTTTGTGTCATTTCCCATCAACTCCCCAATTTTGCACTTCTTTGTGTCTAATCCATAAAAACCTGAAAGAATGAATGAAAGGCCGCCGTTTTCAACGCGACAAAAATATTTCAAACAACTGGTATTTTTATATTTAAAGCAATATTTCAGCAGACCGGCTCATGCTGCAGTTGTTTTCCTTTACAAAAACATCCGTTGGGTCAAATTGTTTCCACAGAGAGAAACTTCGGTCACAGAGCTGCAGAAGAAGAAATTCAAGTAATCTGAGGTGGTGACATTGAGACAAAGAGGGAAAAAGAAAGCAATCACACAGACAGGTTGCAGATGGCAGCACAGAGAGAGCTGAACCTGAGAAAATTAAATATACCACTGTTCCTGAAGTCAAGCAGGGTACAGATCCACACACATACACACACACACCCTGCCTGGTTTGGGGCCAAATTAGGAAGCTAACTTTCTCCTCTGGTGGGCGCGGCGGAGGCTGATGACTCACTCGCATTAATCTTTCTGACGCTGCTCTCCAGCAGCGGCGAAAGAAGCCAACGGGAGCTTTCCCATAAGAAAGTTCAAATAATGCGTTCTGATTCTCGTTCATTGCCTTACAAAACCATTTTTCAGATTATGTCACTTGGGAGACTATGAGTAGGTGATTCAAGGGGGCAGCAGAGAGGAAAAAAGGAGAAAGCGAAGTTGAAGAGATTATGAGCAAAGAGGGAACAGGAAGGAGAAGAGGTAAGATGTATAAACTGTTTAGTCGCCTCAAAAGTATCCATGACCGTATTCAAACTAACCTGGTAAATTAGCGGAGAGACTCAGTTAAAATTTTTAACCAAGTTAATTGCAGGGTTAGTAATTACTCAATCGCTTTTTAATCGAAAACTATATGTCGACAAAATAAGCAACATTTTTAATAAAAAAACAAAACAAAACAGTTTTGTGGGTAAGTGGCAAGAGAAGCGGCTTTGCCATCCATCGCTGTTGTTTGTGGATGTTGCTTGTGCATCAGATTTATGGGCGTACTAGAAACAAAAGATAAAGGCTCCAGCTCTGGACTTTTTTTTTTTAGATAAACAAGCAAAACGTTGAATAATTGCGTAAAAAATTTAAACGCGTTAAATTCCTGCTTCTAAAATGACAATAAGAAACACGTTACCATTGAAAAACATGGAAATTAAGTTTGGAAAAGTTAAGAAATGTTCCTGTATTTGCTTGAAATGTAAAATTCAGACTGCTCCTGAAAATAATTTTGATTTTTAAACTTATCATAATGTTATATATAATATTTTTTATTGTTTTTTTTAATGGCGATTTTTAGCTAGTCAATTAACCCGACTATCTGATGCGATAGCTAGCCTGCACTCTGCCGCTTTACAGACCTAATTCATGGTCACACTTGGGTCATAATTTCATTAAATTAGAAAAGTACTTTTTCATAATAACCCTTTGAAAGGTTGCTTGAATAATGACCAGTCAGTAAACTGGATATGAACCAGTACTCACTGGTCAGCTCTACTGAGATGAGGAACTTACTGGTGTGGTTGTTGAATCGCTCAATGTGGTACAAATGGCGTTTGGCTCGGTTCTTGGCCTGCAAATCGCAGATGTAGTGCAAAACAGGTAGACAAAAATTAAGATGCACATTTTAAATATCTGACGACCTGGTCATTATCCAAATAAAGATTTGGATAAACACCAGGTACAGTTGTGGTCAAAAGTGTACATACACTTGTAAAAAATCATAATGTTATGGCTGTCTTGAGTTTCCAATAAGTTCT